TCTAGTTAGGGACAATATTTTTTATACGAAATCAAGTTTGGGACAAAATTTTCTATAGAAAATCTAGTTTGGGACAAAATTTTCTATAGAAAATCTACTTTGGGACAATATTTTCTATAGAAAATCTAGTTTGGGACAAAATTTTCTATAGAAAATCTAGTTAGCTACAATATTTTTTATACGAAATCAAATTTGGGACAAAATTTTCTATAGAAAATCTAGTTTGGGACAAACTTTTTTTAGAAAATATCGTTTCGTAGAAACGTTTCTGTAGAAAATCTTAATTGGGACACAAATTTCTATAGAAAATCTAGTTTGGGACATAATTTTTTCTAGAAATCTAGTTTGGAAGAAACGTTTCTATAGAGAATCTAGTTTAGGACAAAACTATCTATAGAAAATCTTAATTGGGACAACAGTTTGTTATAGAAAAGATTCTGACATATTTTCTATAGATACAGATTCAGACAATTATTCTATAGAAAAAGTTGTTCAGATGACCTTTTTAAAGAAAAAGTTGCTCAGATTTGACAAATTTTCTTCTATAGAAAAAGTTGCGCAGATTCTGAAAACTTTTCTACAGAAAAAGTTGCTCAGATTCTGACAAGTTTTCTATAGAAAAAGTTCTTCAGTTTCTGACAACTTTTCTATAGAAAAAGTTGCTCAGACTCTAAAAACTTTTCTATAGAAAAAGTTGCTCAGATTCTGACAACTTCTTTATAGAAAAAGTTGCTCAGTTTCTGACAACTTTTCTATAGAAAAAGTTGCTCAGATTCTGACAACTTTTCTATAGAAAAAGTTGCTCAGATTCTGACAACTTTTCCATAGAAAAAGTTGCTCAGATTCTGACAACTTTTCCATAGAAAAAGTTGCTCAGATTCTGACAACTTTTCTATAGAAAAAGTTGCTCAGATTCTGACAACTTTTCTATAGAAAAAGTTGCTCAGATTCTGACAACTTTTCTATAGAAAAAGTTTCTCAGATTCTGACAACTTTTCTATAGAAAAAGTTGCTCAGATTCTGACAACTTTTCTATAGAAAAAGTTGCTCAGATTCTGACAACTTTTCTATAGAAAAAGTTGCTCAGATTTTGACCGCTTTTCTATAGAAAAAGTTGCTCAGATTCTGACAACTTTTCTATAGAAAAACTGGCTCAAATTCTTACAACTTTTCTATAGAAAAACTTGCCCAGATTCTGACAACTTTTCTATAGAAAAACTTGCCCAGATACTGACAACTTTTCTATAGAAAAACATGCTCATATTCTGACAACTTTTCTATAGAAAAACTTGCTCAGAATCTGACAACTTTTCTATAGAAAAAGATTCTCTTTACCTACTATAGAAAAAGTTGCTCAGTTTGGGACTCTTTTTGCATGCAACAAGTAGCTCAGTTTCTGACTCCTTTTGTATAGAAAACGTTTCTCAGCTTTCTCATAAATAAAGTTCCTCAGATTTAAAAGCAAATTCCTATAAAGAAATCTTATTATTTTATCTTTTTTAGGAACAACGTCCCATTCCAGAAATTTCCGACAATGGTAAAGAAATTTCTAATATTTTCAGAATTTCAAATTACGAGTTATTAATTGATCTCATTTTTCATATCTAGAGGTTCTTTTGGCCATGGACTGTGTGGGTATTTGCGGTTCAGATGTACACTATCTCGCCCATGGTCGTATTGGTGATTTTGTGCTCACCAAACCCATGATAATTGGTCACGAGGCTGCCGGTGTTGTAGCGAAGGTGGGAGCTAAAGTTAAACATTTAAAAGTCGGTGATCGTTGCGCTATTGAACCCGGTGTACCCTGTTATATTTGTGAATTCTGTAAGACGGGCAAATATAATTTGTGCCCCGATATGAAATTCTGTGCCACACCCCCCTATGATGGTAATCTAACCCGCTATTATAAACATGCTGCTGATTTCTGTTTCAAACTACCCGATCATGTAAGCATGGAAGAGGGTGCCCTATTGGAACCCTTATCGGTGGGTGTTCATGCTTGCCGTCGTGCTGGTGTTGGTTTGGGTTCGGAAGTTTTGATTTTGGGTGCTGGTCCCATAGGTTTAGTTACTTTATTGGTGGCCAAGTCCATGGGTGCCTCTAAGATAATGATAACCGATTTGGTGCAACAACGTTTAGATGTGGCCAAGGAATTGGGTGCCACACACACTTTCCTAATGACTCCAAAGGATACAGCCGAAGAAACTGCAAAGAAGGTGGAACAAATGATGGGTTCTATGCCCGATAAATCGATTGATTGCTGTGGCGCTGAAGTCACCATTAGATTGGCCATTTTTGTAAGTTAAAAAGTGTAAATTGAATATTATTAAGGTCAATGCTTATGTATACTTTTTTTCAGGCTACCCGCTCTGGAGGCTGTTGTGTTATTGTGGGTATGGGCGCTGCCGAAACTAAAATTCCCCTAATAAATGCCTTAGCCCGTGAGGTTGATATTCGCGGTGTATTCCGTTATTGTAATGAGTAAGTAATTTAATTTATTTAAGATATTTAGAACTGCTTCAGGAATTTCAAAATAGTTAATTGGTCTTAAACATATGTTTCTTTTAATTTATCTATTTCTAGCTATTCTGCCGCTTTAGCTTTAGTATCCTCCGGTGAACTGAATGTTAAACGTTTAGTTACCCACCATTTTGATATTACTGAAACCGATAAGGCTTTTGAGACCGCCCGCAAAGGTTTGGGTGGTGCCATTAAAGTTATGATTCATGTCCAACCAAGAGATACTAATAATAAAAAGAAATTTTAAATTATTTTACATTTGAGTTGTTTGTATATATTTTAAAAATAAAACTACTACATATTTTTATTTTAGTAAATAGTTATTGTTTTTGTTTTATTGTAAATTTGTATTAAACTGCAAAAAGGACAGACCATAGGAAAATTAGCATACATTGAGATCACTTTTAAATACGAAAAGTTGCCTAGACTTTTATAAAATTAGGAAAAATATATCAGATTCAGATATTTCTATAAAAAAAGTTGGTCAGATTCCGACAACTTTTCTATAGAAAAAGTTCCACAGTTTCTGACAACTTTTCTAAAGAAAAAGTTGCTCAGATTCTGAAAACTTTTCTGTAGAAAAAGTTACCCAGATTCTGACAACTTCTTTATAGAAAAAGTTACACAGATTCTGAAAACGTTTCTATAGAAAAAGTTGCTCAGGTTCTGACCACTTTTCTATAGGACAAGTTGCTCAGAATTTGACCACTTTTCTATAGGAAAAATTACTCAGATTCTGACCACTTTTCTATAGGAAAAGTTGCTCTGATTCTGATCACTTTTCTATAGGAAAAGTTGCTCAGATTCCGACAACTCTTCTATAGAACAGTTGCTCAGATTCTGACCACTTTTCTATAGGAAAAGTTGCTCAGATTCTGACCACTTTTCTATAGGAAAAGTTTCTCAGATTCTGACCACTTTTCTATAGGAAAAGTTGCTCTGATTCTGATCACTTTTTTATAGGAAAATTAGCTCAGATTCTGACCACTTTTCTATAGGAAAAGTTGCTCAGATTCTGACCACTTTTCTATAGGATAAGTTGCTCAGATTCTGACCACTTTTCTATAGGAAAAGTTGCTCATATTGTAACCACTTTTCTTTAGGAAAAGTTGCTCAGATTCTATTCTATAGGAAAAGTTGCTCTGATTCCGACCACTTTTCTATAGGAAAATTTGCTCAGATTCTGATCACTTTTCTATAGGAAAATTTGTTCAGATTCTGATCACATTTCTATAGGAAAAGTTGCTCAGATTCTGACCACTTCTATAGGACAAGTTGCTCAGATACTGACCGCTTCTATAGGACAAGTTGCTCAGATTGTAACCACTTTTCTATAGGAAAATTTGCTCAGATTCTGACCACTTTTCTATAGGAAAAGTTTCTCAGATTCTAACTTGCCCAAAACAAGACTTTCTATAGAAAATGTTGTCGCAAACAAGATTTTTTATAGAAAATTTTGTCCCATACTAGATTTTCTCTAGAATATTTAGTCCTAAGCTGGATTTTTTTCTATTAAATTGTATCCCAAACAAGGTTTTCTTTAGAAAATGTTGTCCCAATTACGATTTTCAACAGATAATTTTGTTCCATACAAGATTTTCTTTAGCAAATTGTGTCTCAAAGTAGATTTTTTATAGAAAATTGTATTCCAAATAAGATTTTCTATTGAAAATTGTGTGCCAATAACTATTCTTTATAGAAATTGTTATCCCAATTACGATTTCTATAGAAAATTTCGTCTCAAACTGGATTTTCTATAGAATAATTTGTTTCAAAACTGATCTGCTATAGCAAATTTGGCCTCAAATTTGTCCCAATTAAGGTTTTCTTTAGAAAATTTTGTCCCAATTAAAATGTTATATCTTTGATACTAAATTGACACAATTATTAATCTAATCTTTATTTCAATTATTACCTTTCAAACTATGAAATAAATTTAAATGAATTCTCTTTAATTAAACAATTATAAATTTAATTGATTCTTTACAATAAGTGTAAGAATATACGTCAAATGTTTGTTAATATTTTGTTTTTAAACCTCTAAAAAGGTTATCAAAAATCTAAAAATTTTTCATTATCAAATTACAATAATACAACTATAATAATAAAATTGTTCAAATAGCAATTTGCTAAAAGTACATAAACAACAAACGTGAATATAAACTGATCTAACTGTGTTATCAGTGACAGAATTTGTTTTTCTATAACTTTGAAGTGTTTTTGTTGTTTTTTTTCTGTTTCATAAATAAAATATTTATCTAGCTTGCAAGATAAATCTTATAAAAATGTCATATAATAAAAAGAAATAAACAATTATTAACTAATCTCAGCAAAAGAGTTATTAAAATTATGATAAATTGGTTTATTTCATTAAAAAGATAACAACAGTTTTGTTAACAAAATTAGCACAGTTTTTTTTTTAGGAATTGTAAAGCTTGAACCGGCTTTTCTTAATAATAAAAATGCACTGTAATTATTATCAAAAATTATAGTTTCTATTTATTTAGAATATTTTTTTATATAGAATATAATATTTAAAAGAAAAATAACACAAAAATACAATTTAAAAAAAAAGTAAAGAAAAATTAATAATAAAATAGTTTTTAATATTTATTTGAATGTTTTATTTAGTTAAGTTTCAGTTTTATTTTCTTACTAATTGGAAGCAGTTGAAATATTTTTTTTACATAAAATATTATTTATATATAATTTTAATAATAAAATAATGAATATAAATTAAAACTTTAAAAACTTTTTAAGCTTTTCTTAGGCACTCTCATTTTATAAATGTTAGACATAAAAAAATTAAACAAATTCATATAAAAAAATAAAACAAAATATTTAAGGAAAACTTACCAAAACAAAAATAAATAAAATATAATAATAAAAATAAAATCGAAACAATTAAATAAAAAAATATTTAAAGGACGGTGTTAAATGCATATTTAAAAATGAGAAATTTTGAAAAAAATATTTAAATTTGTAAAGAAATATTGATAATAAATATGTTCTTCTAAGAGAAACTTAAGGAAATTCCATAATTTATTATAAATGTAATAAAAAATATCAATTTTTTTTTGAGATTTTCTGTTTAAAATTTTGTTTTTTTTTAATATCATTTAGAAAAATATCTCTATATAGTTTAGTTTTTTTTTAGTTATAGGTTTTTTTTTCAACAAAGTCCTTTATAATTGTGCGTTTACTTTTTAAACAAATTTCCATTTTAAGCTTTTGTTTAAATATTTAGTTAAACAATACAACATTAAATTCTATATAAAGTTATAGGAGGAAAAATTAAGGAATTAAAAGAAATTAAAAGTTTTGGGAAAAATGTTGTCCCACAAAAGAAAAAACAATTTCAAATTAATTATATTTGAGGAGCGGAGGGATTAAATTGAAATGTGGGATAACGAGGAGCAAAATTAGCATCACCTATCACTTGTGTGTGTTCAGAATCATCACGACCAGTTATTGTAGGAGCCTTAAATTGAGTCTCAACAAATTGTGGAGGAGCTGAGAGAACAAGAAATAGAGAAAAAAAAAGTTATTTATAAATCAATTACAAAAGCTTTATAATTTTCAACCTAAACCAAAAGAAATTAACAACATTTCTACAGAAAAGGAAAAGAAAAAGTTAATCTGAATCAGACAACTTTTCTATAGAAAAAGTTGATTTGATTGAGACAACTCTTCTATAGAAAAAGTTGATCTGATTGAGACAACTTTTCTATAGAAAAATTTGATCTAATTCAGACAACTTTTCTATAGAAAAAGTTGGTCTAGTTCAGACAACTTTTCTATAGAAAAAGTTGATCTAATTCAGACAACTTTTCTATAGAAAAAGTTAATCTGAATCAGACAACTTTTCTATAGAAAAAGTTGTATTGATTGAGACAACTCTTCTATAGAAAAAGTTGATCTGATTGAGACAACTTTTCTATAGAAAAAGTTGATCTAATTCGGACAACTTTTCTATAGAATAACTTTTCTATAGAAAAAGTTGATTTGATTCAGACAACTTTTCTATAGAAAACGTTGATTTGATTGAGACAACTCTTCTATAGAAAAAGTTGATCTGATTGAGACAACTTTTCTATAAAAAAGTTGATCTAATTCAGACTACTTTTCTATAGAAAAAGTTGATCTAATTCAGACAACTTTTCTATAGAAAAAGTTGATCTGATTCAGACAACTTTTCTGTAGAAAAAGTTGATCTGATTCAGATAACTTTTCTATAGAAAAAGTTGATCTGATTCTATCAGTTTTCTATAGAAAAAGTTGCTCAGATTCTGATCACTTTTCTATAGAAAAAGTTGCTCAGATTCTGATCACTTTTCTATAGAAAAAGTTGCTCAGATTCTGATCACTTTTCTATAGAAAAAGTTTCTCTGATTCAATTTTCTATTGGAAAAGATGATCATATTCTGATCACCTTTCAATAAAAAAGGGCGCTCAGATTCTGATCACTTTTCTATAGAAAAAGTTGCTCAGATTCTGATCACTTTTCTATAGAAAAAGTTTCTCTGATTCAGACAACTTTTCTGCAGAAAAAAATTCTCCGATTCTGATCACTTTTCTATAGGAAAAGATGATCACATTCTGATCACCTTTCAATAGAAAAAGGGCGCTCAGATTCTGATCACTTTTCTATAGGAAAAGTTGCTTAGATTCCGACATCGTTTCTATAAAAAAATTTACTTCGATTCAGGCAATTGTTCTATAGAAAAAATTGCTCAGATTCTGACAATTTTGTTATAAAAAAATTCTAAGATTCTGACCAATTTTCGTTAGAAAAGGTTGCTTAAATACTGACAATTTTCTATAGCATAAGTTGCTCAGATTCAAACCATTTCTTATACAACCTTCCCTTTGATGAAGATTACAAAAAAAGAAATCTTTTAATTTCAATCAAAATAAAACTTACGTATATTAGGATACAATTGACCACCAGCACTATCGGCTACATTCCAACCCATGGCACCACCTTGACCCTCTGGTGGACTAGCGGGACTAACCGGTTGAGTGGGAGCCATTGAAGGATCATCTGTAGGCTGTTGTGGTACAACTTGAGCTGGTACATCCGTATATGGTGCTGGTGGTTTAAACGAAGCCAACGGTATAGTGCCCAAAGTAATGGGTATATTACCCGTTAGATTACGATGTGGTCCACTAACATCACACTCAATATGCAAATCATAATCCAAAGCAATAACGCCACAATTTACCAGATTTGTAGGTGGCAGTGCTGGTATTTCCAATTGTTGCGTAAATGTTCTAGATTCACCACCTGCCACTGGGCCAATACTTAGCTCAGCTATGGTGATTTTTGTTTCCTTTCTCTCGGCCCTCGGTTGAGTGGTGGTGAAGGTTACACGTTTGCGTAAAACAAATTTAACGGCATTGATGCCCACATTACTGGCATTATCACATTCACAGGTTATGGGTATTATTTGTCCAGATACATAGCCGGTAACGGGTATGGTGGTTATAACCGATAAAGGACCCGATTTGCAGCAGAAACAACAGAATGATTTCTCTAAATCCAATTTGAAAGGTTCCTTAACACGAGGATTGAGATTCAAATCAACAGGGGAAATAACCGTAAAGGCCATTTTCATGTCTTGATCAAACTTCCAGGGTCTATCGAGGGTCACCTTAATGGTATAACGCACATGGCCAAACTCACCCTCAAAAGAGGAGGGCAAAGTGGGAGGCAAAGCACAAGTAAATGGATAAGTATGAGTACCGGCGGGTAACTCAATTTCAGCACCTTGTTTTTTAACAAAATATAAACTTTAGTATTGATTTACTTAGAAATTTTATTTACTCACTATTTTTTCCACCCAACAAATAATATTGTATTTGAAAGTATTCCTCATGACCCTTAAACGTAGTGGTCTCGTCTTCTTCACGTCCTTCACTACTCGTTACCTTACGTGTTTCCGACCATTCGGTATTGGCTTCGCCCAAAAAACGTATGATTATACCTTGAAAAATTTGACAATTTCATTTTTAATTATCAATCTAAATTAACATAGAGCTGTGAGCTTCGAATGCAACTTTGTTTTAGTTTTATGGGAAATGTGTATGTGCAATGAATGAGAGAGAATGAATTTTGTTTGATTAACAAATATGGAATGTAATTTATAAAAATTTAAACGCTATTAAAGCATGACATCATCGTAATTCTACAAATTATAATGTATTGTATGGTTTTAAACGAGTGAATGTGTATTTTCATTATGTGAACTGTTTTTTTCGGTCAATTGCTTCTTTTGTTTTCCTCAATTTAATTTATCGTTTATTGATTTTAATCAAGTACTCGTGTGTTTAAGAAAATCCTTTTGGATTTTCTTTCTACTATAAAACAAAAATTAAGCAAAGTTATTTACAGAAAAAGTTACTCACACTCTGACGAGTTTTCTACAGGAAAATTTACTCCGATTCTGACCAATTTTCTATAGTGAAAGTAGCTTAGATTGTGACCACTTTTCTATAGGAAAACTAGCTCAGATTCTGACCAGTTTTCTATAGGAAAAGTAGCTCAGATTCTCACCAGTTTTCTATAGGAAAACTAGCTCAGATTCTGAACACTTTTCTATAGGAAAAGTAAGTCAGATTTTGACCACTTTTCTATAGAAAAAGTAGCTCAGATTCAGACCACTTTTCTATAGGAAAAGTAGCTCAGATTCTGACCACTTTTCTATATGAAAAGTAGCTCAGATTCTGACCACTTTTCTATAGGAAAAGTTGCTAAGATTCTAACAACTTTGCTATAGGAATAGTTACTCATATTCTGACCACTTTTCTATAGAAAAAGTTGCTTAGATTCCGACCAATTTTCTAAAGAAAAAGTTGCTCAACTACTAACGGATAAAGTTGCTGAGATTCTGACCAGTTTTCTACTGAAAAAGTTGTTTAGATTCCAACCACTTTTCTATATAAAAAATTGCATACATTCTGACCACTCAAAGTCGCCATTTATTCTTAATGTTATTACCATAACCATAAATAAGTTCCAATTGGAAACTTGTTCCTTATCTCTTTCACATTTGTTGTAATACAAAATAAATAAACCTGTCCTTTTTTTGTGTTTATTTTTTACACACAAAATGCAGTTCAACAAACCCTACATCATTACAAAAAAAAAAGTAGATAGGTAGCTATTCTAAAAATGGAGAATAATGCGTTCAAACAAAACCTCCCACTCTTCAAAAGAATGAAAAACAAAACAAACGCATAACTTGCAGTTGGAAAAGCAATAAGAAAAACAGAGCAACTAAAAAATACACACAAGAGCACAACAACAAAATCATTCATATTGAAAAGAAAATTTCTTAACTAAAAATAAAATAAGAACCGGCTTTTGGCAAAAACAGCAACAATAAAAACAACAACAATAATACATTAAAAAAGAATGAGGTCTGTTTTTAAATAAATATTCCTCTACATACTAAACTTCAACCAAAAAACAAACAACAACAAAGAAAAGAACAAAAAAGCAAAATAAACAACTGGTGTTTGTTGGTATTTTAAGCAGGTTTTTATTTTTAGTAAAAGGCAAAGGGAGGTGGGCAAAGTGGGTGGTAGAAAAACAAAAAATAACCAAAAAGAAAACAAAGGGAATTTTTTAGCTGTAAATAGAAACAATAGAAAAAGAAGTAGTAAAGTAGTTTGCGTTTGATAGATTTTTGACAACTAAAGTAAAGTTAATTTAAAACAACAACAATGTATGACATGTTGAAACAACAAAATAGAGAAATTCGAGAAAAATATGCAAATAAATAACTATTTCAATATAAAATTTGTATATTGGGACACACAAAAAAACCTAACAACAACAAAATAATGTACTTTTTATTTTAAATGACGTATAGTAAAAATTAGCTAGTAGAATGTTTAATGATGTTGATGATGATGTTTTTGTTTTTGCTTTTACATTTTGATTTTTAAATGATGATGTGATACATACAACTAACTATAAGTATGGTTGGAAAAAATGACTAATATTTTTCTTTGCTTTTTTTGCGTTGATGATAATGATGAGTATTAAACACCATAGAGATTAATACTTATTTTATTTTTAAATATCTACTAAATAAATCACTTACCTCTGACTTTTTTTGCCGAGTCAAATGTTAATTTGACTTGTCCATTTATAGTTTGACCAGCATAATATGTATTCCAGGGATTATCCAATTGTACTTCACAACCTTTAAGACCCATTTTGTTTAGGATTTTTTACACTTTTGTCTTTTGTTTAATTTAGTTTGAAATTTTATAACTTTGTACACTAAAGACTTTTACTTTTCACACACTACACACGCCCAATTGATTAAAGTGCTGGTTCTTTAATAAAAAATCCCGATAAACTAAATAGCAGTGTGCTGCAGTGTTGCCAACTCGTCCAAGAACAAAAGCACCGTAATTGGCTCAAAAACGGGTAAAACCGGGTAAACATTTTCAAAGACGTGGTTAAAAAAGCACCATTTATAATTTTGAATAATTTTACAAATACAGTGGACGTTCAGTAGTACGATAATGTATCACTCGAAAGTTACAAAACACGGACACTGTTAATGGTTGTATCATAGTGTCGTCCATTCATGTTTGAAAAAATACAGTATACATATTTGCAATACCTAACCTACTAAAAGTTATATGAACATATTTTTTATCACAAGTCGAAACCAAGATTGAATCGACACAACTCAATTTCTATCGAGAGTTTATTAAAATTTATGTCGTAAACGATTACAGGGGTAAATCATGATTGAGTAATAAGTATTCAAAGACTTCAAAAAAAGTTGTAAAAAATTAAGATTAATTTAAAAAAATCATATAATTTTTAAAAAGCACCAGGAAAAATTGCTAAAAGCACTATAAATAAACTTTTTTATTTTTCCGGTTTTTTTTTTTTTAAATCTCCAGTTATATGAAGCTAAAAGACACCCAAATGGCAACACTGGTGTGCTATGCGAAATATTTCACTAAATAGTCGAAGAATCGACTTTTTGTCGGAAAAAGTAGAAAAGTCGGAAAAAAATTTTAAAAGTGGAAAAAAACAAAAATTTCGAAAAAAATTTTAAATTTTAATTTTTTTTCCAACTGTTCAAATTAAGTTAAATAATTTTTATTTAATTAAAAAGTATTTGAAAACATTTAAAAATTCTTCATATTTTTGCTTTAAGTAAACAACGGCGTCCGCTGAAAATGTAAACAACGGCGTGCGCTTAGAATGGATTGTAAGCTGTAAACACACAGTTAAATTAAAACAAAAGTTCATACATATAATGTTATTGTTATAATACTATTTTTAACAATAACAATCAGTTTTTTTTTTTTTTTGTAAAAAAATATTTTTTAGAAAATATAACAAGAAGTTCTCCCTAACAGTTAGATATAACGGTTCTATACTTCAAACAAAAACTTTTAGTAACTTATGTATATCTCGATTTGCCTACATTTTAATTTCGAAATTGACCACTTTTGAAGTTTTCGACACTTTCCAACTTTTTTCGTTATAGACTTATTGAGTAAAATTCGATTTTTTGACAAAAAGTAGATAGTTTGAAAATCGATTTATAGCACCCTAATAATAACTTGGTAATTTACATTTTAAATGCCGTTTTTAAAGGTGTTTTCTAGCGATTTTTGCAGTTGCCACAACTGATTAAACGTTTACACAAATGCTTTTAAAAACGTCAAAATAAAAACAAATTTTTAAATTAATTGTAAATTGTAAGATTTTGCCAATTATTTGCCGCAATATTAATTAATATGATAAAGTAAAAAATCGTAATATTATGGGCTCTAATATAAATCATTTAACTTAAAACATTTTTTCTTATATTTAAAAGCTATTGGCAGCATTTTTTTCAATTGATAACATCCTCCCTGAATTTCTTTATAAAAAGAAGAAGCATTCTTATAGACAGCAAAAAAGAAGAAGCAAAAACATCAATTTTGCAAAACACACAGAAAAAACCGGAAAATTTTCACATAATTTTTTACTTTCTCGTTTCAATTGTTTTTAAAAAATACAAAAAGCCAGTAAAATTAATACAAAATTACTAAATAAGTGAATTAAAAACATAAATAAGATGTCACTTTTTCGCAAACCGAAAAAAATACAAAGACGGGTATTTTCCAGCACACTGGACGATGATGAGGACGCCAATAATGTTACAAAAGATGCCCGAAAATCAAATGATAACGATATGGAAGTAGATGATCATGCGGAACTTATTGCACCACCTCCGCCACAAATTTCAGCCAAATCAGAGAAAAAGAAAAGTAAGGATGGTAAATCAAAATCATCGTCTAGTAAAAAAGATGCCACCACTGGGGGAGGTGGTGATGTGAGTAAAACGAAGGCTCTGCTAAGTTTTGCAGATGAAGGTAAGTTATTGAATATAATACTGCAGCTTTGCGTGTCTTGCAAGAAAATTGCCATTAATATAAAATCCAATTTTATAATATAAATAAAAATTGAGATTTGTGTATTAAAAATAAAATGTAGGTCAGTTCTGTTACTCCTAGCACAAACTAAATTTAAAATGTTTAAGGATTAGCGCAAAGACTTTTTAATATTCTTAAGTTTTTATCAAATTGTCTTGTTTATAATACATATTTTCATGAAAACCTTTCTTTCATTTACTTTTCAGAGGAAGATGCCGAAGTCTTTCAAGTTCGCAAATCTTCACACAGTAAAAAAGTTATGCGTATGTTGGACAAGGAACGTAGACGCAAAAAGAAGGAAGAACGTAATTCTGATAACATTTCAAACAGCAACGTTAGCAACAGCACTACCGCAACCACCACCAGTAGTAGTAACACTGTCAGCTCTCATCATAATAACCTTTCAAATAGGGAACGTGAAAATGGTTCACGTAATAATAATTCTCATAGTTTAGGTTCATCTTCGACATCAACAACTAGTTCTACGGAACATAGTAAAAGTAATAAAAGTGATAAAATCCAAACAGAAATACGCACAGACGACTTTGTGGTAAGGTTATTATTATCATTTTTCTACAAACTGAAATTCTAATATAAAATAAAAAAATATATAAAACAAGAAAACCGCACCATCAAAAACGTTATATAAAAAAATATATTAAGTGTTTGGTTTGAAAGAAAAAATAATATTTTTTTAAAACGAAAGTGCCCAAGAGAAGTATTATTTTTTCTTTTTTTTTCTGTAAATAGTTAACAAATGTTATTTTAGGACATTCTGTTAACAATCAAAAAATTTTCGTTATAAAGTACATAAAAGAATTGGATTCTTTTCTGTTTAATTAAGAACATATTTTATGAATATTATTTATATTATTTTTTTTTAATTTTCTTTAAATTTAAGTCAAAGTAGAAAATTGATCAGAATCTGAGTAACTTTAAAAAAAAGTGGTCAGAATCTGAGCAACTTTTCCTATAGAAAAGTGGTCAGAATCTGAGCAACTTTTCCTATAGAAAAGTGGCCAGAATCTGAGCAACTTTCCTATAGAAAAGTGGTCAGAATCTGAGCAACTTTTCCTATAGAAAAGTGGTCAGAATCTGAGCAACTTTTCCTATAGAAAAGTGGTCAGAATCTGAGCAACTTTTCCTATAGAAAAGTGATCAGAATCTGAGCAACTTTTCCTATAGAAAAGTGGTCAGAATCTGAGCAACTTTTCCTATAGAAAAGTGGTCAGAATCTGAGCAATTTGTCCTATAGAAAAGTGGTCAGAATCTGAGCAACTTTTCCTATAGAAAAGTGGTCAGAATCTGAGCAACTTTTCCTATAGAAAAGTGGTCAGAATCTGAGCAACTTTTCCTATAGAAAAGTGGTCAGAATCTGAGCAACTTTTCCTATAGAAAAGTGGTCAGAATCTGAGCAACTTTTCCTATAGAAAAGTGGTCAGAATCTGAGCAACTTTTCCTATAGAAAAGTGGTCAGAATCTGAGCAACTTTTCCTATAGAAAAGTGGTCAGAATCTGAGCAACTTTTCCTATAGAAAAGTGGTCAGAATCTGAGCAACTTTTCCTATAGAAAAGTGGTCAGAATCTGAGCAACTTTTCCTATAGAAAAGTGGTCAGAATCTAAGCAACTTTTCCTATAGAAAAGTTGTCAGAATCTGAGCAACTTTTCCTAAAGAAAAGTGGTCAGAATCTGAGCAACTTAGAAAAGTTAGAAAATAGAAAATAGAAAAGTTACTTCTCTTTTTTCAATATTCCTTTTATGCAATAAAATTTTGATAATTTTGAAACTAAAATTGAGTCATTTCAAGATTAACTAATCTATTCTTTTTAATTCCTTGTTCACAGCTGGTGGTGAAGAAATCTCAACCGGACATAATATTAAATGGTCGAGCCGCTTTGTGTGCCGGCCGCGATGACATGTCTGACGAAGATGAAGAACAAAGTGATAATGAACGTAATGGCAGCAAACATAGATTTAACAAACCAGATCATTTAAAACAAATGTTGGAAAGTGGCTCTATACCCGATGCTGCTATGATACATGCTGCACGTAAGAGAAGACAAAAGGCTCGGGAACAAGGTAAGTAGTTAATTAATATTTTATATAAAATGTTGTTTGTAATTTACAATGTAAAAACTTTAGGTGATTTCATAACCATAGAGGAACCTAAGGTAGAAACTAAAAAGGGCAGTCGCTTAGCCAGAGAAGATATAGAGGGCGATAATTCAGATGATGAGGAACGAGTAGATATGAATGCTATAACCGGCATAAAGGAACGTGAAGAAAGACGTGAAAAATTCTATGCTGTTGAAAAAGATTGTATGTAATTAATATAATATGGCAACGGTTTGTTACAGAGTGACCACAACTTATTTTAAAACTAGTTTTAAAAAATTAACAAAAATTTGTTATATAAAAAAGCTTTTAACTTTTCACTATACTTTCTGTCCTATTAGATTCTGATGAAGATTCAGATTGTGAAACCCACGAATGGGAAAATCAACAGATACGTAAAGGTGTAACAGGTGCTCAATTGGTTAATGCTCAACATGAATCGGTTCTATCACGTTTCATGATTAAATCAAATATGGAAAATGCTTTAGAAGCTCCACCACAACCAGAGTCTACATCCTCATTACTGGAGCAGGCCTATGCTAAATGTACATTGGAAAAGCCTCAACAAGTCTTAAGTGCCAATAAACCGAAGAAGGATAAAACAAAAGCAACCGCTTTAAGATCCCCACAAGAAATACGAGATGCTATAGGAGAACGTTTGAACAAGTTAAAGGAACTTAACAGCAATCATTTGGAAGATATCGAAAGAATAGGTAGAGAAATGCAAGCCATGAAATTAGAGGAAATGGATTGTAAGCAGAAAGCTCCTACAGCAGCTGCAAAATATAGATTTTACCAGGAAATTAAGTGCTATGTTACGGATTTAATAGATTGTCTCAATGAAAAGGTGGGATAAAGAAATGTTACTTTTTTAAAATAAATTTTAAAATTAATTTTTTTTTTTACAGACACCAATAATAACGGATTTAGAAAAACGTTGCCTACAATTCTTTGGCAAACATCAGATGTTCTTAACCGATCGCCGAAGACAGGATGTACGTGATCAAGCTAAAGAAATGGCTGAGGCAGCTAGTAAGTTCAAATTAATTATACATTTTTGTTTGCACAACTTATTTCTTTATTGTTTATTTAGAACCTTCTGCCACACGCCGTGGTGCTGAATATGATGAACAGGTTCGCCGTGCTGCCGAACGTGAGGGCAGACGTACTAGACGTCGCTGTGAACGCGAAAAACAGGATATGTTAAGCTCACATTTAGATGGCATGTCTTCGGATGAGGAAACATCTGATCGTTATCAAGAATTATTTCAAAATGAATTGGGTTTGTGACATAAGTTTATATTGTCTTTGTATAAACAATATATTTTAACTTATTGCTTTGTTTTCTTTGTAGAGGAACTTATTAAAGAGGGCTTAGAAGTAATGGACGACGTTACCGATGAATTTTGTAAAATTGAAATAATTTTAACAAAATTCTATGCTTGGCGTAAAACTGATATGCCTTCATATAAAGATGCTTTTGTTAGTTTATGTTTGCCTAAGGTAAAGTATACCTATTTATATGGTGGAGATACTATCACTATACTATCGAGGATAATAATATAATATGGAGCAATATTTTCTAAAAATATGTCTGGAACAGAGCAACTTTTTCTTTAGAAAAGTTGTCTGAAATATAGCACTTTTTCTATAGAAAAGTTGTCTGAGCTAGGGCAAGTTTCTCCATAGAAAAGTTGTCTCTATTAGAGCAAGTTTTCTATAGAAAAGTTGTCTGTATCAAAGCAAGTTTTCTATAGAAAAGTTGTCTGTATCAAAGCAAGTTTTCTATAGAAAAGTTGTCTGAATCAGAGCAAGCTTTTCTATAGAAAAGTTGTCTGAATCAGAGCAAGTTTTTCTATAAAAAAGTTGTCTGAATCAGAGCAAGTTTTTCTATAGAAAAGTTGTCTCTATTAGAGCAAGTTTTTTATAGATAAATTGTCTGTATCAGAGCAAGTTTTCTATAGAAAAGTTGTCTGTATCAAAGCAAGTTTTCTATAGAAAAGTTGTCTGTATCAATGCAAGTTTTCTATAGAAAAGTTGTCTGAATCAGAGCAAGTTTTTCTATAGAAAAGTTGTCTGAATCAGAGCAAGATTTTTTATAGAAAAGTTGTCTGAATCAGAGCAAGTTTTTTATAGAAAAGATGTCTAAATCAGGTCAAATTTTTTTATAGAAAAAGTTGTCTTAATCTGATCAACTTTTTCAATAGAAAAGTTTTCTTAATCAGATCAACTTTTTCTATAGAAAAGTTTTCGGAATCAGAATCAGAACATTTTTTTCTATGGAATAGTTGTATGAATCAGAACAAATTTACAGAGCAACTTTTTCTTATGACACCTAAAATCTTATATTCTAGATACTTGGTCCTCTGATAAGACTAGAAATGTTGACCTGGTCTCCATTGATGGCAGATTTTAAAGATATTGAAAAACTCAATTGGTATTCAGCTGCCATGTTGTATGCCTGGAGTGAAGACGAAACAGAGGAGGTACTTAAGCAAGATCCTGATGTTAATTTGGTGCCCACATTGTTAGAGAAAATAATACTACCCAAATTAATAGGTAAATACGTGGAATAGTCTTTACGGCCAGTTATTGACTCATGTTTTTAAATTTCTTTTAGATATCGTAACACATTGTTGGGATCCTTTATCTACTACACAAACATTACGTTTAATTGGTTTCATAAATCGTTTGGGTAGAGATTTTCCTTTAAAAGAAGATGGCAAAACACTGCAGCAGTTGTTTAATGCAATTTTGGAGAAAATGAAATTGGCTTTAGAAAATGATGTTTTTATACCCATATTTCCCAAACAGTAAGTTTGAAAATTTTTAAACAGAACAGTAAAAACGGTATTGTATTGAAAACTTTATTTTGTTTATTTCTTTAAGGGTGCAAGAAAACAAGACTTCATTCTTTCAGCGTCAATTTTGCAGTGGTTTAAAACTGTTTCGTAATTTCTTGTCATGGCAGGGCATTATAGCCGATAAACCTTTAAGGGAAATGGCTATAGGATCTCTACTTAATCGTTATTTATTATTAGCTATGAGGGTAAGTTATTTAGATAATTATTTTCATATAATATTATTCATATTTTTTAATTCTATTCAAGGTTTGCACACCCAATGATGCTATAAGCAAAGCTTATATTATTGTTAATACTTTACCGACCGCCTGGCTACAGCCAGATTCTGAATGTTTAAAAAATCTACAATTACTTATCACCTACATTAAACAGACTTTAGAATCATGTGATGCTAATAATCCCTTATTCATGTAAGTTTTTGTTATTTAATTAAAAAAAGTTAATAACTTTTTGTTATAAAATTTGTTTTCTTTTTTAGGCAAACCAGTGATAAAGCCAAACAAATCTTACAAAGACTTCATAGTAATAATTAATTTATCCAATGATTTACTAAATTATGAAATGCATTTTTCCATCATTAAATGAAAAACATAACTTTAACGAAAAAAAATTTATCTACAAAAGAAGAAAGTAAAACACTAAAACAAAATCAATCATTAATAAATAGTAGTTTCAAATTGTTCTTGTAAATATTTTAAAAAGAAAGTAATTAATAATAAAAAAGTTTTCTATTAAATAAAAATAAAAGTTTTCGTATTTAGATTAACTTTTCTATAATAAATCAGAGCAAAATTGTCTGAATATCTGTAGAAAACTTGTCTATAGAAGACTTGTTTGAAT